TATATATAGTATATAATATATATATATATATATATATATTATTATGTATATATATATATATATATTATATACGCATATATATATATATATATATATATATATGTACATATACATATATACATATATACATACGAAAGTATATCAAGTAAATACATATCCAAAAGATATATATATATTCTAGCTACCGCTCATTTTTATATATCAACCCAAAGGATTGTATAATTGGTTCACGTATACTTGGAAGGATATTTTGTTTGACTGAAGGCGCCCGTCGGTGATATTTTGATATTCTGCGATGTGGCAAGTAGTCACCGAACTTCTGATACAGTGACAGAATAAGCATCTATGTACCCAATACTGAGATGCATGGAAGTTTAAGAGTGATCATTAAAGTGTATGTCAAAACACCTCAATACTTATTGCTTCAGTGGCCGAATACGTATACCGCCCATACAATTAATAGTGACAATTACCGATTTTGCTTATTTTGAGCACATTAGACTCTACGGTTACGAGCATTTTAAGGGTGAATGTTGATAGTATATTGGCAACACTACTATCAACACAAACAAACCGCAGATGCATAAGCCAAAGCTCAAAAGCATATGTCTGTGAGTTATTGTAGATTAAGGCCTAGGCCCAATACAACCTCGATTTAACGTGCACCGTGCAACACAGAAAGACAAAATACGCATGCTACCACCTTATGTAATTTAGGCAAAGCTTATTCATCAATCAGAAATTCGTTGCGATACGTGTACATAAAGTGCAGGCGTCTTGTAGAAAAGGTATTGAATCCCATTTACTTTTAAACAGAACACTGCTCTTTGGTTCCAAGCGAATGAGATACTTTGTTATGAATACTGAAACTTGACCTAAAATCTATCCCGCTAACGTATACACGTTGAATCCCCTATACTACAATAACGGCAGCAGAGAAGTCAACAAACTACGGCTAGTTTGGACCACGGTAATTGTGTATGTAGTTGCATATAGTAGCTGTTGGTGAGATGTAATTTTCCCAACGAGTTGGATAAAAGTCTACAGACACATCGTATATGTCTCATCTAGTCCGCAGTGCACCTTCAGAACAGTTCCCTAGTGTCCGCTAGAGAGTGTTGAGATGTGTTCGGAATCTCGACAGTGCGAGAAAGCTGTTATCTTACAGAGCAAAATACTTTTGTACTACATAGTTACCAAACGCAAAGCACATGGTAGAGTAAAGAGGTGTCTGCAATATTCTGTTCTGATTGGTTCAAAATTTTGATGGCTCGTAGGTAGTGAACACATCAGATTATCACGATGAGTCATGGAACCTTAGTATTCTGTGTATTATATTCAGCATTATCGTTTATTAGTTAGAAGCCTATATTCAAAAACTCAGAATTACGACAAAGGTATGTCGGATACTATTAAAAATTTAAAACTATGATATGCCACGGCATGTAACCTCCCCAGAAATTGTACATTCTGCTACGGACGAGCCGTAAAACAATAACACATACAAAAGTAAGCGCTACAGCCTACGCACAGCTTAATACCCACCTGGCTCAACTTAGATCACTAGTTAGTTAGTTGCTGCTTGGTGCATTCGGGTTGAACGATCCGGTGAGGTGCAAACTATCAATATTATATCCACTATATACATACTAATATACCCCTTCCGTTTGGTCCAGACCGCACAATAAGATACAAAGATGCCTGGAGAACACATTCAGGTAAAATAATGTTGGCTACGATCTTATTTAAGACCTTATTGTGCGATTATCCGGGCTTGTGTGCACAACTTGACTAACCATCGCTCATGTTATAAAAAATATATAGGTTTCCAGTAGTGTTCGTGCTCGGATCTTATCGATCCTGGTTATAAGACACGCGCGATACACTTTCAAATCGACTATCAAGCGGTGTTAGTTTCGCATTCTTCGCATGATTTCTTGTTTACACTTTGCAGAATCATACGCATATTGCACAGTCAATGCGACAATTAAGAGATCCCAACAGATAGCTTCGTCCCTCTATGTGGTAGTCCAGAAGAGCTAATCTTCACTCCATGATTGCCTACACACGTTGCAGAATCAAAATGACACCCAAGAGGTGCACCGAGAGGGTCTAGTAGAAGCACAACTAGTCCTTGAGGATGGTACGGTGTTCCAAGGATTCTCCTTTGGATCCGAACGCTCCACTGCTGGTGAAGCCGTATTCCAGACTGGTATGTGTGTGCCGCGGGGGGTGGGGGGGGTGGGGGGTTTCACCTCGAAAGTGTAGTGAATGAGTATCTTTGTGCATCTTGGGGGTTTTTACTTCGTATGCGTGTATGTATGATCATCTCTGATGTGCGTGTCTGCTTCAGACTGAGTCCTTGTGTCCCAGTTTTCAGTATGTGCGCTTTGTTTGCCGGTTGTACAGGTTCAATTGTTTCTGTACAAGTACGTATGCATCGCGCTCAAAGCAACTTTAGTATTTTCAGCTTTCATGTGGTGGCTAATGAATGTACCCGCTTTCACCTATGCCCGTTATAGTTACAGGCACTAAGCTTACGGTTGCTTACAGACATAAAATGCAGAATATTATATACATACATATATTCACATATATGACGGATTGTTCTGAAGATTTAACGACCTGTGTATCATCTCTTTAAGTGTAGTACAGACGTTTCGAAACACATGCTCAATTCGCAATACCCAGGAATGGTATGATCTTCAGTATAATGCTCGATCGCATCACTATTCAGTCCCTTCTCAATACGCACTGACCTTTTGCGACAACCTCCCTATCTTTGGCACACAGGAATGGTCGGATACCCTGAAGCCATGACAGATCCCTCATACGAAGGCCAAATTCTCACACTCACATATCCTCTGGTTGGTAACTACGGTGCTCCCGGAAAGGACGCCGATGAAACGGGCCTACCCATGAAGCTTGAATCAGAGCGCATTCACATCGCCGCGCTTGTGTGCCAGGTGTGTATATAGGTGTTTATCTAAGGGCTATGCAAGTATGGTCTAGTTGTTTTAATATGTTATATTGTGCTTGTCTTATACAAGATAGGACCTGTGTGATTGAGATGTTCATATGGGTGGGGTGGTGTATGCTGGTTTGGTTGTATATATTGTAATACATGCGCTTCATCGTATACTTGTACTTTCTAGCGTTTTCTCTATATGTTCCTCTACACAGCTTGATTCATTAACATCTCTTAGTCAGTGTGCGCACGTGCTTAAACCCTCTGTCTTCATTCCAATCCGATCCGCATACAATACATATCAGGAGTACTCGTTCGTCTACTCTCACTGGCAAGCAACCCAATCCCTGCGCGACTGGTTGGTCGCCGAGGACGTGCCAGCCATCTTTGGTATCGACACACGTGAAGTGACCAAGAAGATCAGAGAAACCGGCTGCATGCTGGCCAAGATCCTGGTTGGCAAGGACATACAACAGAATACCATCGAATTCTACAACCCTAACGATGAGAACCTCGTAGCTAAGGGTATGTACGGGGAGGAGGAGGGTGGTACTGGACGTATGTGCCATCGACGTACATTCACATATTTTATTGCTCGAGTGGATGAAATATGCCCAAGGGTTTTAATTATGAAACCCAAAACATGCTCAGACCCTATCCACAATGCCCACCAATGCCTAACTCCGCACTCCTTCGTAACTGCCCGTGTTATCCATAACCAGTTTCTCAGCGAGAGGTCAAGACATACAACCCACCCCAGGGTACCGCCACGCGTGCGAGCATTCTGTGCGTCGACGTGGGTATGAAATACAATCAGATCCGTTGCTTCGTTGAACGCGGAGCTAAGGTCACTGTGGTCCCCTGGGATCACGCCTTTGCACAGGTAGGCCACCCATAGACATTTAAGTGTATCTGGTATAGCGTATGTATTGTGGTAGTATAGACTTGTGTATATTGATTTGTGTATATAGATGGGGATAAGGTCGTACATTTTTCATCCGTTCATGGTTGTAGCCTCTGTATAGAATTGAGAAATGTACTGTCAGCGATGTGTACGTTCATCGTCGAATACATTTATAATTACAATGACAATGTCTCGCCAGTACGGCAATATCTGTCCGTGTTTTGTACATGATGAATCATATATATATATCTCTTCGCCCGTCTATCTATATGTATATGCATACAGATGATGGCAACAGACGACTACGACGGACTCTTCATCTCCAACGGTCCTGGCGATCCCACCATGTGCGATGCGACCATTGAAAACGTCAAGCAGGTGATCGAGCAGAACAAAAAACTTTCCGCGCCAAAACCCATATTCGGTATCTGCCTGGGTCACCAGATCCTGTCTTTGGCCGCAGGAGCCGAAACATCGAAGATGTTGTTTGGTAACAGAGGACATAACATCCCCTGTTTGGATTTGAGAAGCAACAGGTGCTATATCACTACACAGAATCACGGGTTCCATGTGGAGGAGTCCACACTACCCCAGGATTGGTTGCCTCTGTTCAGGAATGCCAATGATCAGACAAATGAAGGTGTGCGTGCGTGTGTTTGTGTGGTGTGCTATATGATGTGTTTGTGTATTCGCACTTAAAAGTATATTGCTTGCAACTCGGTATGTTGCAAGTGTGAACATATGTAACCGAGTGTGTAAAGATAAATATATAATGTATGCCGAATGTATACCTTTGTAAACTTGTGTGCTCATCCATCGTATAGCCCCATGTACAACCACCCCTCTCTCGTGCTCTTGCTGGCTGTTCATTTCCACTCCTAATTCTGCAGCGATACACGGTACCTGTCCGATGTTTGTAGAAACAAAACATACATTCTTGTGCAACATATATCCATCGCGTCTAGAAATGTTATATATATATATATATATATATATATATATATATATATACTAGTCTCTCTCTCTCTCTCTTCCTTACTACTACCGTACGTACTACTACCACCGCCTC